TCTCTCTCTCTATCTCTCCGCCTCTCTGTACCTTTCTCTCTCTCTATCTCTCCGCCTCTCTGTACCTTTCTCTCTCTCTATCTCTCCGCCTCTCTGTACCTTTCTCTCTCTCTATCTCTCCGCCTCTCTTTACCTCCCCCTCTCCATACTGCTCTCTCTTTACCTCCCCCTCTCTCTGCCTCCCCCTACCTTTCTCCCCACCCTGCATCTCACATCTGTCCTCTCTGTAGGCTGCTATTTCTACATCTTCATCCTCCTGACGCTCATCTACCTTGTTTCTCCTGCAGGCTATGCATAATTACCAACTGGGAGACTCCAACCATCTGCGAGTGTCGTTTTCGAAGTCGACCATCTAGATGGCGCCACGGTCACGCCGAGAGCGATCGACGACGATGACGTCGTCTCGTACATTGAGGACATTTCATATGATGAGCAATCTCACAACAGCATCTACCTGCTGCTGGCCACACCTCTCCTTCCTCCCCTTCCTCCTCCTCCTCCCCTTCCTCCTCCCCTTCCTCCTCCACCGTGTATGCCTAGGCTCCTCCTGCTCCTCCTCCGCCTCGTCCTTTCCGTCACGGACACCCAGCCGTCCTCTATCCTCCGTGAATGCCAAGTTTCCCTTCACCTCGACGGAGGCCTACGCCTCCCCCTCATACGGCATGCATCTGCTGCCTGTCAAACCCCCGTGATAGATTCCTCGCCACTATTACCAGATAAACTATCCATAAACTCTCCATGACAATTACCAGCCTACTATTACTATTACTATTACCAGCCCCCCCCCCTCCCCCCCGGCGGACTTGTTCCTCCTGTGCACGTACAAACTCCGCCTCACCAGCTTACGCCTCCCCATCCATGTACAGCCTTCCACCCTTGACCTGTCGCTCGCGAATCGCGCAGAGAAGGATGATCGGCAAGTCCCGCATGCCCCGCTCTCTGTCTCTCGGCTCGTCTGTGACGCTTCGACAGTTGACGAGTCACGCCCGCTGCCGTGCTGCGTAGAGCGCGTCGAGGTAGATGATTGACAACTTGCGCGTCGAGGTACCAACAAGTGAACGCTGCAGGTGGCGCTGGCTGTTCATCTGTCGACTCGCCGACCAGGTGGCGCTAGTCGAGCGGCGTCAGTGAGGCGTGGGCGAAAGACGGACATCATACGCGCGTATTTTTGCTTGGAACGTCGCGAGGGATGGTTTATCGCGCGCACATTTACTATACAGTCTCATCTCCGTCTCGTCGTTAAATTCGTGTCGCGATGTAGGGTTTTGTATTTTGATAGTGTTTTTATTCGGGCAGACGGCTGGGAGAACAAACGTGTCTTTTTGCCGGCACTCTTATAGGTGCCACACGCGTCGCCGTATCGAATAGACTAGCGGCACCCTCTCCTGACTACCCGGAGTAATTAATTCTCGGCTGACTTGCGGCGTTGTCCCTATACTTTAGGTTTCATTGTCGTCCCCCCCCTCCCGTGTACAGAGAGCCAGGAAGAGCAGTGCGGTGCATTCTGTAGTGCCACAGTAGCACCCTCTGTTCTACTATGGTGGTGCCCTCTGTAGTGACTAAAACTGAGTTTTATAGGCGGTTATAGACGTCGGAGCACGTGTCGAAACAATGGATACTTTTCTCCCCCATCGTATGAAGAGGGGTGGGTTGAGGCCAGACGGGGTTGGGCAGGCCAGGGTGGGCGGGAGTATAGAGTCGATGTGTGACACCTTGGTCTGATTACGGTTGCTCGGCAACTGATATTATTGCTTTTGTCTGCTATCAGCTTCATCGTGGTTAAGCATTTTCTTGGGGTTTCTACATCTACGATATATATTTTTGCATTTTGAGGTGCATGTACACGTACGTATATGATTTCTACATATGAACAAGGGGAATGCCTATTTTAATACAGCCTGTAAGATTAGCATCTAGACTTGGCCATTGTGAGTCTGTGTGTGTGCTTGTGTGTCTGTAGTCATCATATATTGGCTGGGAGGTTTACACAGATCTAAGAATCTTACTTTTCTGTCGTCGACTCTGGAGTAACGTACGTAGCATTTTTCGAATTTTTCGCGCGTTCGATTCAGATGCCCACCCACGTTAAGAACATTATTCTGGGACCATTGCTGTCTTGCTGCACACCGATGTATTCTATTGTTGCTGTGCCTGTGAGCGTGTGCGTGCGTGCGTGCGCGCGTGCGTGTGCATGTCACAGTACTCCAGCTCTTTCACAAACCGAAGCTGCATTGGCCGAAGTCATCGTCAGTAACATGTTATCACCCTTCACGTAACGTCAGAGTTGAGCCGTGAAACGTTAGTAGAGTTCAACAGAATATCGTTCTGCTGTGAATTGCCATATTTTCCTTCCAAATTTCGTATTTTCGCTGTATTTTCCTTACCTTATTTTTCCGTAAGTTTCCGTGACCTTATTTTCACCGTTTCGGCGCCAACCTGCTTTCTGTTCCCTAATTACTAATTACTAATTACCCTGATGAGAAGCCAAAATATTTTATTTTAAACGAATATGTTGGAGCCCAGGTTATTTTTGCTACCCTAGTATACATTGTGAAACCTTATGCTTAATATGCATATTTATATACTATATGTGCATATATATATATACATATATATATATACATATAAATACATACCTACATACATACATACAAACATATATGTATATTTATATAATATATATATATATATAGTGTGTGTGTGTAGGGTTTTGAATGTAATATTTGTTAGTAAGGATAGACCCTGCACTGGTGTGATGGCAGTACAACCCACACTTCGTGCTGCCGAGTCCGTGGAATTGAACCCTAAACCCGCCAAAAGATGAGGGTGTGAGGTTTGGTGCGCGCGCGCTCGCACACCTAGCGCGTATGTGGGGTGGTGTAGGTGGTTGGTAAGGGGGAAACATGAGCAGCAGAACAGGTGCATGCAGTGTGCTGTTCCAACTCCTCGTGTGTGTATAGCAGGGCTGGCTGGTGTGAGAGCATTCGTGGTCGTCAACACCAGGTGGCGCTGTCCGGCCGAGGCTGGCAGCGTCTGCGGTGATTGCTGCTAGGTGGCGCTGAGTCTGCGTCGATCCTGCCGCTTGGCAATCTCGTATTTTTTAATGTTTTACAATTATCTCGTGTCGTGAAATCATGATCTTTTTTTCTTGATCGTCGACGTTGATGGCGGTACGGTCGAAGCACGCGGCGCCACCCCGCGTCGGACTCCCGAGCCGAGTACTTCAAAACAGCAACGTTCTCTTGTTACTATTGTGGCGCGCCCGTAACCGGGCACCACCAGGTGGCGCCGTCAAGGTGCGATCTCGCACCTATGCCGCAGTGAACTTGGCTGTTTCGTAGCACTGTGCGCTGCCACCAGGTGGTTTATGGTTGGCGGTGGTTGCTACTGTGGGTCGTTGGTGGGCATACCATTCACTTTTGCTACTGCTGCCGTGTCCAATTGTTTCTTCATCTGGCATGGTTTTCGTCTGCCGCCAGTTTGCCCAGATGTGTCATGATTCCGCGCGATCATTTACCCGTGGCATGACAAGAAAAGTTGCGCTGTATCATTCTCCTGTATCCCTCCTCTCAATCCCTCCCCTGCATTCTTCCTTACACTCCAGAGGTCACTCAAAGGTCATGCATGACTGTCGCGTCACCAGGTGTTATCATTCTGTGTAAGTACGTGCAGCGCCCCCTATCATCGTTCAACGTCGTTGCGATGGTTTTGCGTGTGTGGTCTAGATGCACGGGTGGATCTCCCTTTCTCTCGGCTGCCCGCCCGGAAGACTGCAGACGAGTTTCTGAGGTTCTCGTTCTGCCTTCTTGTGGAGGAACTTGGAATATACTGTCTCTGCTTGATGTTGGAACTGTGTCGCTGTGAGTAAGAGTGCTCCGGATTTTTTTTGGTGCAGGAGTAGGTGTCCCAGGGGTAGTTGTCACAGGAGTATGTGTCATAGCGAAAGGTGGTGCCTGGTTAGGTGGCACAGAGATAGGTGGTGTGGGAGCTGGTGGCACAGGGATAGATTGGGCTGGGGTACGTATTAGCGGCCATGAAAGCTTGATTACCCAGAGTTTGAGCTGTCACGTGCAAACCGTGCCTTACCGAGGTGCTAAATACCTACAGTTATATTTTGTGTAAAACTCAAAATTGAAGAAGCATCAGGTTTCCCCCCTATCAATTGTATATGTAAGTTATTGAACATTTACATTTTACCATCACGTCAGAAATTCATTTATTAAATATATACACAGATATGTATACATTTTGTAAGCCGGTACATGGTGTTCTGTGCGTGTTCCATATATAATCTTGCGTATAATATGTGTATATCTATATATTAATCACAAATGTAACAGGATTGCCACCAGGGGGCAGAAACGGCTCGTTCCAGTACTGCTGCGCGTAATGATGCACCAGGTTGCGCTAGTGAACCTCCGAGATTGTGCGACGGACGACGGAAACGGACGATGACGCAGACGTGGTTGAGTACTGGATCAAAGAGGCAATTTCCTATCCTTGACTTTTCTCATGCTTGTCTCATCGTACATATACTAAGGGTCTATTGCTTCGCTGCATTCTTATTCTTGTTCTTCACTATGTAGCGTGTGAGCTAGCGTATAGTAGGTAACCGGCCAGCCGCGATACCTCTAGCTCCTCATCTGTGTATTGTGTGTTACCATAGCGACACCGCCCACAAATTGGGGGCAGAACTGGTTTATCACATGCGTGCGTGCGTTCATACATGCGTACATACTTAAATACAGACATGCACGGACGCGCGCCCTCATCGATAGATATATATATATATTCGATTAGCTTTTTCTCTTGTCTGCTTGTGTTTTTGAGCTATATTAATGTATATTATTCTTGCTTTTGTTTGCCACTGCCCCCCACACACTCTCTCTCTCTCTCTCTCTATCTATCTCTATGTATCACTTCTCTGCGAGGTACCCTGGGTGATTACCACCCATCTAATATTTCTGGCGTCAGCCGGCGTAGGGATGCTCGCTGCAGGGTACAATTTCGTATGCTAGCACGGTGCGCAACGTGGAATTAAGTGAACCTTAACTGTTATCATACAGAAAAAGTTAACGGTTGTTATATTGTCGTAAAAAAACGAGCGACTACTATTATTTTGCTGTAAAACGAGTGACCGACTCACTGATCTATATATACCCATGCATTATATGCACTCTACAATAGATATGAAGTCGGTGGATGCTAGGCAGTGGCCATAATGGTGCCACCACCCAACTATTATTGCGTATGTGTGCCTCCGGTTTAAAAAATACAAGGCTGTGGGAAAAGCTTCCATAGGTAAATTATGCTTATTTCCTCTAGGAATGTACAGTTACATAGCCTAGATTGTTCTAGCTCTAGGGCAGTCCTTCGGATTTTCACTTTTTTTTCTTCGTCTCAAAAATTTGTGGGGCACAATAGGCTACATTAGATTCGTAAAACCTATGGGTAGGTTAGGGTTAGGCTTTCATGTATACATTTCGGTCTCAATGATTATTCAGGGGCCTATAACTGACTTACAGCTCTCTACAGTACTTGACTTGGCTGTCACCGCAGCAGGTGGCTTTTTTATATCACCGGGACCTAGTCGAGCTCTTATCATCTCGTAAGGAAAAAATATCATAGGAGGGAGGGACGAGAGAGGTAGAGAAAGAGAGAGAGAGAGAGAGAGATGGATGCATAAATAGAACTTGTACTTGGGTTATATATAGGGTTAGGGTTATATATAGATCAGTGGAACGACTTATCACGCTGTAGAACAAGTGAACAGCTATTATAATGTGACTGGAAAATGTTCGGCCATGTGCGTGTAGATGGCAGCATAGCGCGCGTGCAGCCAACATGGTGACGCGTGAATTCATGCGCGCATCAGATGAGAGAGGGTCGCAACAGCTGTGCCATCGTCGCGCTCGTGCCCGAGTATTATTCGAGTTGCTGACTGAGCTAGCTATATATGACGTCATTGCGTCGAGGAGCCACGTGACGCGCGTGCAGCAGCAACTGCAGTGGTTGCCCCGGCAACCCGCACCATCTATCGTCAGCTATGCGGTGGCGCCCCCTACTACGTAACGCACGTCACCTTTGCTGTTCCGTTTTGGATTGATTAATACTTTACGCGTTTCTTCTTTTTCTCTTTGTGACAGTTTTTCTTCGCGTTGTACTTTGATGTGTATTCTATAACTGTACGCTGCCGCTCGCTTGCACCACTGAGTGTAACATCAGCTCTCTTATCTACTTGATTAAATGCGACGTTGTGTGTAGATTGTAGACGTACCTCACTTTGTACTGCGATCATCTCTCTGTCTCTCACTTATTGCTGCATCGTTCTCTTTCTTCACTTTCTGCTCTCAGAGTCTGTGCTTCTAGCACTCATACCTTGTGTGTGTGTGTGTGCGCGTGTGTGCCTGCGTGCGCGTGCAAGATTTGCATGCAGCGATGCTACGCTGGTACATTTTATTTCTAAAACTTCAATACGGAGATGCTCAAAATCGTGAAACAAATGAACGCCTGATGACTCGACATGGACAGACCCGTTACCCGGGTGACGCGCATCGTCGCTAGGCGACAGCTTGCAGACAGATGTTAGGTTCTTTCGAAATGTTATGTCCATATATTAACTCACTCAGTGCCAGCACAGACTTCAAATGCGAACACTGCCGATCTTTGAGAAACGTCGGAACTTGGGTGGATGTACAAACAGCCTGCATCTCTGTTCGTAGAACAATACACCATTCAGATGACGTTATTTGGCCAAGTACTCGTATAATCCAGCAACTTCCTAGCAAAGTTGCTGCTCCAAACACCCTCACGTTTAAATTAATGCATTGCAACAAACAACTACGCTCTAGTAAACACGTTGCTTCGTGCACGTAACAGCTTCCTTCTGCATTAGCAAATGAGTTTCACAGCCGGTAAATCCAGAGAGACCCTGAAAAAATTCAACAACCGAAAAAAACATTGCCACGGGCAGAAACACATTGTCACAGCCGCGAACGCGTTCCCACAGGTGGAAACACATTGTCACAGCCGCGAACGCGTTCCCACAAGTGGAAACACATTGTCACAGCCGCGAACGCGTTCCGACAGGCGGAAACACATTGTCACAGCCGCGAACGCGTTCCCACAGGTGGATACACATTGTCACAGCTGTGAACACCGTTCTCCAAAGCGAAACTACATTGTCACTAGCCGCCTAACGGTTCCAACAGAACGCAGAACACATTACACATGCCAGCGAACCAGTTCCGCGACAGCAGTAACAGCATTGTCACATCCGCGAACGCGTTCCCACCAGTAAGAAACACATTGCACATGGCCGCGAACGCGTCCTACACCGCGGAAGAACCAACTGTCACAAGCCCGAAACGCCTTCACACAGCCGGAACAACATATCAACACGCTGCAACCAGCAATGCTGCGCTCGCGCTGGGGGCGCTATCTTAGCGCGGCTCGGGTCGCGGCCCGCCCGCGACCGCCTGTCCACAGGTCGGTAACACATCCTGGCATCACGCCGCGAAACGCGTTCTCGACAGATCGCGAAACACATTGTCAACGACCATCCCGCCAACCCCCGTTCTCTACCAGGCAGAAACGCCATTGTCACCCACCGCCGCAAACAGCGTTCCCACAGGTGAACACACCACTTGTCACCAGCGCGAATTACGTCCCCGCAACAGTGAAACTCATCTGTCACAGGGGTCGCAAACCGCCGTCCCCACAGTGGAAACCACATTGTCACAGTCGCAAACGCGTTCCCACAGGGAAACACATTGTCACAGCTCGCAGGAATACGTCGCCTCACAGGTGGATAACGCATGCACACGCGCGAACTCGGCTTCCCCACAGGTGGCAACACATGTTCACAGTCGTGAGAAACGTCGGTTCAGCCCTACACAAACTGGAACACATGTTGCCCACCCCATCACCCCGAACGAACACGTCCACCACAGCCGCTGGAAACATGTTCCATGGGCGCGAACCCCAACGTAATCACCACAGCTGCTTGGAAACATGTTAGCCATGGCCCCACACCGAACAACGTCACTAGACCGCACAGCAGGAATAAAGTGAGAGAAAAGCGAACGAAAGAAACAGAGAAAAAGTCTCCATTAGACTTTCACAAATTGGCATCTCATTACTGCTGATAATTACCGAGATCTGGAATACACCCCTAAATGCTAGGCTGTCCTGTTCAGCCACTGCGCGCCCCATTGCGTATTCCCACCGGTCAAGAACCGTCGATAGTAATGGCCCGAGTAAATACTTCAAAACCCAGAACCGCTCGCGATAATCCAGCGATCCAGGGATGCCTGCAATTGAAATGAAGGAAACCCATCTAGTTACACGACGAACACGTCCATGACAGTTGCAATTATTGTACACTAGATGCACACTCCATGAAGAGAAAACAATGAACTTCCGCTAACAAGGTAGGCTTATTGCACTACCCTTATACAAGTAATGAGGCAACAATCTGGCCTTACACCAGGGCGTGACCAGAGTGGGGGGGGGGTCCAGGCCGGACCGCCCCCCCCCCTGCTCGCAAAACAGAAAACCGTCACGTCTGCCATCTAAGGGGGTCAATTCAAACAATTTCTGGGGACATGGCCCAGACCCGCCCCCCCTTCGAGTGCTCGCAAGCTTGGTACGGTTAGACCCCCCTCCTCCCTGGTCTCAAAATCCTGTACACCCCCCTGTACAGATACGCTATGGTACAGTCTTTAACACTATACTAAACAGCGGCAAAAAAACCGTTTTGAAACTTTCGTCATGTACCACATCCACAAGTAGTCCTACAGGTAGACGTGCGCAAGCATAAAAGAAGCCCGTGCAGCGCCACGTCAATCGTTGGTGGATTGTGGCCCAAGACATGACCTACCACATATGAACTAAAATTTTAAATGTACATTACTCCCCACCTACTTTCACAGCCCGCTTTAGCGGTGGAACCCAAGGACTTGCAAAACAGCACACTTATGTATATAATTATTCTAGTTTCGGTGTTTTCATTCAATTCAAATTAAAATTAAATTCAAAATTCATCTCACATTCAAAAAAATGTATTTATCACACAATAGCAGAAAGATACCCAATGATAGCAGAAAACATAAATGAAGGTGATACGTGGTAGCGAAAAAGACCCTAGGTCATCGAGTCACTATGCCTTTATATTCAAGTAGACTGAACTTAGACCCATGGTGACGCCATAGAAAAATATATCAGACCTAATGTGTTATAGGTTATATAATGATATCGTAGAAGGGTGTCTCCTATCATATCAGGAGTGATCTTATCCAAGAGCGTAATAAAGAAGGCTTCTTTATACGCCTTGAATACCAAAGCCATACATATGGCACCGACTTGAACCCCGCCAGACTGGGCAGGAACCATGCCCAAACATGGTGCGCCCGGCCTAAAGGCAAGTGAGGCACGTAAAATTTAATAATAATATACCTGGGCTCTCTCGTTAAACAAACTGCTTCCTACGAAGAAAACAATTAGTCGCGCCCGCATATTCACAAGTACACTCTTATAACGCGCACACATTTCATCGCTGCAATAAATAACGGTGAGTACAGGTACAGAGTAAGACGACCTGACTCTGAGGGAGAGTAAGCGCCGAGACGCCATCTGATCCATGCATCTGATCACCTGTAGTCTGGCTTATATGATAGGTCTGGCCCTCAGGTACGGTTTCCGGCAAGTACCCGGGGGCCATAGACACATATGCTCTAAGTATTGAGTAACCTATAGCTCAAACCAATAGGTCCTATGTCCCCCAGGCTACTGCCGAACTGGCCCTGCCCCTATGGACGGTCCGGTAATAGACCGGACGTACCCCGGGTCACATTTGATATGGTAGGGTTAGGGATATGGCGGGGGATTCAGGTTAGGAAGCGAGGCGACCCCTAGACTCGTTAGTGGAGTAGGCGAGGTACGGTCCGGCATATTAGATAGTACCAGGGTATGTTCCGGCAGTACCCCGGGGTACATAGACCCTCTCAGCGTAACTATAGCCAGCGTACAGTTGCCGCTGGGCTATAGTATAGGACCAGCCATTAGCCATGCGCGGGACCAACTTACTCCAGCCAGTCTGCGGGAACTATGTATAACCAATGCAACCTGCCCACTCCTCCACATGCGGAAATACATAGTTTCCGCTGACTGGCGCTGCTGCAGCGCTGGCAAAAATGGCCGTTTGAAGTTTGCAAATCGAATGTTCGTTCACAAGAAATACCGCAAGTATACCATTGCAACGATAGTTAGAGGTTAAATTTTAGTAGCTGATATAACTTAAGACATATTCACTTTGGATAAGAGGCATTAATTGCCTACCACAGACGTTTTATAGTCGCGAATAAGCGTGAGTACGTTGGTCCCGCGCATCCCTAATGGCTGGTCCTATAGCCCAGCGTCAACTGTACGCGGGCTATATAGTTACTAGAGCTAGTCTGGCATTAGATAGTACCAGGCCACCAGGGTACGTTCCGGCAGTACCCTGGGGTACATAGACTCTCTCAGCTGTAGTCTGTATTGAGTAGCGCATGTACACGGTACAGCGACACTCACTGTGACTTAGCATTCCTATAGGCAGCATTATCAAATACAGAGTGGCTATATGCCCAGCAGCCGGAATATATCTGACGGCTGCCGGGCACGTTCTTCGATTTCCTAAATGCCTGGCAGTTTTTAATTTTCAGCGTTATCTCAAGTAAACAAGGGTTAGGGTTAGGAACTGTCGGGCATTTAGGAAATCGAAGACCGTTCCCGGCTGCCGGGCATATATAGCCACAGCATATCAACTATGCTCTGATATGATAGCGTAACCCTGCTAGCCTAAAGCATGATGTACCGGTACCAGGGCTCGATTATCGCTACTAGTACTACTACTGAGTAGTACTACTAGAAGTAGTAGTACTAGGCCCAATGCCACCAATGGCACGTACGTCAAGTGGCGTGGAGCGCACAGACTCACAGGCACTTGAAGCGTTTCAATAAAATATAATGCTAAATAAATACGAAATCTATTTACTACCAAATTCTTAATGTTTCTATACTCTCTTTCACCTATTATTGCCGTCAGTTTCCTGTAAATTCCGTCCAAATCCTATTTGCAACATACGCTTGCAGCCGCCATTCCTCACGCGGTTGCACTGTGCACACTTACACTTATATATATATAGCCGGTAGGAAAGCGTGCTGCCCAAATTCGCTCGACGCTCACTGGATTTCACACGATCACAACACAAATATTCAACCATTCTACTCCATATTTGTTTCTATTTCAACAACAGTGTTCACTTGTTATAAAAACATACTGTCTCTGTTCGTAACCGAGCTGTGTCACACGAAATCACACAAAGACTGACGAAATTCTTGCGTTCGCTAACGTTGCCCATTAAATGTAAATGACTGTCAGAATCAGGAAACACCCACCGGCGCTCTTCGTGACCTCATTCTTGTGCTGCAACGCTGCAACGTTTTTCCA